TGGTTATGGTGCGGTTATGGTATGACCAAAAAATTGGTGGTGCGGTTATGGTTTTGGCCGAACCGACCCCGAACCGAACCGTTGCCATCCCTATTCTTGACATGACACAACAATATATATAGCTCCGTTTGATTGGGATTAAAATCAGATTTTTAGTGATTTTTGTTGGTGGTGATGGTTTGTGGGGCGCGATATGGATGGTTGTAATGGTTTATGTGATGGTGATTATGATTGTTGGTGCAATCTAGATGGTAGTGGTGATTGTTGGTGGTGATAATAGTTGTTGGTGCGATTTGTGCGTTTGTGTGGTGTGATCTAGGTAGTGGTGATGGTTGTTGGTTCAAATGATAGTGGTGCGATGTCGATGGTGGCAATAGTAGTGAGGTGGCAACGGCACATGAGTGATATCGGTAGTGAATGAATAGTGGGGATGTGACAAGAGCATTTATGACCAATTACTTGAGTAATCGTGATCAATAGAATGAATAATTTGTAACTAATAAATAAAATGTGACCTAAAACTGTGTAATTTGTAGCTTTATGATAGCGATGGGTGGTTTTGGTTGGGGAGGGGGGATTTGGGTTGGGCTTGGAAAGATGAAGTGGGATGGGTGGGATGGAAAATAAAGTTTTAAAGGTTTTGAATTTTATGTGGCACATATTAAAAATTTGGGTATAATTTGCAAAATGTAAAAAAGTTTGGGACTGAAGCTACAAATATTTATTTTTAATTTTGACAATTTTTCCTTTTTTTAATGGTTAAACTAACAAAATTGGACGTTTGGAGTTTTTTCGCACCTAAACGATTGTATTCCGCACTAAAAATTTCAAACTAGGACCTTTTTCTGCTATTTTCAATAGGTATGAGGTTTTCTGCACAACGTTTAATATGTAGGGGATTTTTTGCCATTAAGCCTAAGAAATAACATTTTGACGAAAATTTAACTAGAATTATCATCCTACTCTAGTTTGCGGTACTAGGAATTGATTGTCTCTGGCCATATTAGAGGGGTTACACAATGGCTAGTACACTGTGTCCCTCAACCACCAACATTTGCTTTCTTTTTGACAGAAAAAAGGCTAATATACTGTTACCTTGTTGATTAAAAACTGTTTGGCTTTGATTTTTGTAGGCTGTGTCATTGATAATTAGTTCTTGTTGACTGCATCCTATAACAATCGTCAACTCACTAAATGGAACAATTGAAACTAGTACAAAACCCACATTTAATTCTTGGAGTCTGAATTTATAAAAGGATACAAATCACATTTCTATTTTCCTAATTATCCGTGCTTAAGCCTGCTCCTTCAAAATTAGGTGGCTAAGACGGGCTATTATGCCTATTCAATATATTTTGATAGTGATACAATTTCTTCGTGCCTTTTTAAGGAAAAAAAGGTTGTAGGCCGATCTCAACTGGTCACCACACATATGAGTGAGTTCTCGATTTTTGCAATTCCACTTTTGGGCATTGGTTAACGACTACATTTTTCAAGGTAGTTTTGAATGGCACCTACTCATCTTGATTCTATACAACCTTCTATATAGCATCGGACTTCTAGCCTGTAGATAAATAGAACTTCCTTGTTTATGGCTTACTTAATCACTTCAAGAGAGGCAGTTTTCCATCAAAATTTGGCAGGGTATAAATTGCTTTAAACCCTCAAGAAGGACATTTTATACACAACATTGGACAAAACTAGATAATATAGTAGACAAACATTCTAATTCTACTAGGTCCTGTTGAGTCGTGCACAGCAAACATATCCTTGGTCATTACTAGATCTTGGCAGATCAAATTAAGTCTATAGCATCTTATTATTTACTCTCTTTCAGAACGCAACAGGGAAGAGTGCAACAAGGAGCTAGGCACTAGCTTATCAAACAAACTGAATCGTTTTCAGTTTCCCAAGTAAATTTTATTATTAAAGTCACATTTACATCAGAGTGAATGCATCCATCCTGGCAGGATTCCATTTGCACCTTGTGTGGATGCTGCACTATTATCCGATGCCACACAATTGTATCTGTCATAGGAAATAGAGGAAAATGATATTGTAGAAAATAAGTAAACTTTATCAGCATGATAGGGTGGATGAAGAAAAAGAAAAAAGAAAAAAAGAAGAGGAAATGTAACTCAAATTATTTATTACTTAGACGAAGCTTACCCAATTTGCAATGTGTTGCTGCACTGAAGAGGCTCAAAGAACTGCTCAAGCTGAGGAGGCTGGAATCTGTGTGGAATGCTGTGTTCCCCAGATTGCCATGATGAATGAAGTGCTGCATTATATTGTTCTAGCTGTATGCAAAAAAATTTGATTTGCAATATTCAAGTTGATGAATCAGATTTAAGATTGCAGAGTAGATATATGTAACAAGACACTTCTTTCAAGTTTTCTAGTCATATGCAGTATGATAATGTTGTAATCATATAAATGTTGCAGTTCAATATGATCAACATGAGTCACGAGCTTGACTAAGGGACTATTTGGCATAATTTTTGCTTTTGTTTCATGTGGAAGAGGTTTTGGAGGAAACTACCTTTATTTTTATTTGGAAACTAATTTTTAAAAGCATTTTCGAGAAAATCATATTGGACTAACTTCCTCTTAAAACTCTTGTAACTATCGGAAACACTTTCATAAAACTAGCTAAACGAGTTCAAAAGCAGTTTTTGAATCTCAAAAGCTCTTTTTGACTTTTCAAAAATCATGTCAAACTGACCATAAATCTGTGTCACTAGGAAATAAGATTAAATATACAATTATTTAGCTCAGCCATACATATGACTCCACCTCACACTAGAGACTATATACTTGTAACTTGGTCTTTCAGAAAAAGGACATAAGCAAGTTCCAAGATCGTGGATAATCACTCAGAAAACCATTTGGGCACTCTCTACTATACGAAGGAGAATTTATAATTAAAAAATAAGAAATAATTTTGAGTTTGTGTGTAATATTATTTTATTGAAAATGTGTAATAGAAAATAATAAAAAAGGCCTAGAACATGACCAGCTTATTCATGCATCAGGAATAATAAAAAGACCTAGAAAATGTTTCTCTAAGCCTAACAAAAAAATAAGTTTATTTAAAAGTAACTTTAATTTTTAGCCAAACATGTCTCTTGTATTAAAAGTTTTTTCAAGCAACTTTCTTCCACAAAACATATTATTTAAAAAAAAAAAATAGATACAGAAGTTAGATTTTCTAAAAGCTTGCTTTTCTTTACTTGTTAAAATCAGTAAATTTTGCTATCACATGCTTCCCCAGTCCAGAGTACCATACGGGATCTGTTCGAATGTGACGTTTCGAAATTCCCATATTTTTGTTGATTACAAAAGGGACAAATTCAAAGTAAAGCTTTTACCTTGCTATTGAGAGATTTATTTACTTCCAGCAGGGTCTTTTCCTGCACAAGCATGAATGAGTAATAGTATATACTACTACATTGACAAATAAATCCACTATTTATAAGAATATATACCTTTTGTTGAAGATCAGAAAGCTGATCAAGCAGATATCCAGTCTGTAAACGCATTGAACACTGACTTAGATATCACACAATGGAAGGACTAAATGTACAAAGAATAATCTGAAATTTTTTTAAAAATATTGAGAGGTAGAAGGCATTCCTAATAAGGAGGACCAACCTAAAAATTTTAATAGGAATTTGTTTTAAAAATCCTTAGTCAATTACTTTCAACCAAAATAAATTAATTGAAAAAACTACATTATTTTATTTTATTTTTTATATAAATTTTGCTTATAGATTAAAATTTCACTATAAGTACAGTAACCATCAGTACCTTTAACCTCTAATTTCCTTTAAATTAATAGTTTTGGTATTGATCCAAATATATGCTGATCAACCGATAGGGAGAGGTGATTTTTCTTTTCCTTTGTTTTATTTTCACATATTTTTTATTCGAATAAAAAGAAAATACAATGTATGTGCCACAAGTTTTCTTAAAGAACCCTAAGTAAAAAGTCTTTTAATAAAAAGAATTCCAATTAATAAGCATCCTACACATGGAATATCTAATATGTCCTTTTTAAAACCAGTCTTTCCTTCTCCATTTCATCTTCTTCTATACCCCTTAAGGGCCTTAACCTACACTCCATTAGCTATACAGACTTTTAGACCATACAAACCAAATGTGGTAGCTGTCAATCGTCGACATACGCATAAAGGAACTACAGTAAACCTAGTCCATCCAAGCACCCTTATAATCTATAGTACAGACATGATATAGTTTTATTACTAAGCCCCTAAAAAGAGATTTTTTTTTTTGGAAGAATGTGTAACTAAAAAGTAAGAAAAAGTTTTAGATTTACGTACAAAAATATTTTATTGTGAAAACATGTGGTTGAAAATGAATTTTAGAAAAAAAGAGTTTTTTCGGAATGGTAGACAAACAGGGCTAAATTCATCTACAATAAAAATGTAGAAGTGTAGATTTTCCATCATTTATAGAAATAGTGCTTAAAATTTGATTACCCTCTTCCCTTCCCCCATGTTCTTTGGGGGCACTCCCCAGGTTTTCAGTAACATGGAGGAAATGTGCACAGAAGGGACTAAATAAAGAAGATAAAAAGCTAAAACGTTTTTTATTATACTATGCGATGTTGTTGAATATATTATATCTAGTGTTTGGAAGTTACAAGGTATGATCTCACCTGTCAAATATGTTCTGTGTATGTCTCTGTGTGTTTGTGTATGTATATAGTACCTTTGTCGATCTTATTTGCTTCAAAGTTGCATCTAGTTGACACTCAAGCTGCTCAAGATCCTTTGTTCCCAACTGTCCCAAATCTTCACCAAGAAAATACCTGACACATATGAATCAAGAACTTTCAGTTTCTTAAGTAAATGTATAAAATTAACTGCATGCATCTTTCTTAATTACCTCTGAGATTTTTGAAGCATCTCAACTCTTGCTTTAAGTTTTAAATACTCCTGGTACATGCTCTGCTTTGTAGAAGGAATCAGCTAGTTATTTTGGTTGTTTGATACATTTAAAATAAGTCCAAACCTCTTTCCCCAACCCAACCCCACTAAAAGAAATACTACCTGTCCATCACTGGAAGATTGATTCATTTTATGTGCTTCATAGCTGCATTTTTGATATCTTTCAAGTGTCTTGGACATGCTGAAATGAAAAGCTTGCATTGAAGTTTCAAACGAACCACTAAGATGAGGTGAAATGACATGGTATAGCAGGTAAAAGTCTTCAGATTTAGTCTCGCGTCGCTTATTTATAAAATCTGTATATATTTACCATATTTGATTAAAAAATGACATGGTATGGCATGCATGTGATTGCCTCTCCTATTAAGCTTTCAGAAGAGGCGATTCATCAAATTACAAATAGGACACATCAGGGTTAAACAATGTAAACTAAGTTGTTAAGATCCTAGCGAAAATCAGTTAATTTGGTCATATTTCAGCCTTGAGCTGAGGTTAAGTCATCCTAGCTCAGTTCGAGCACAATACCATCTTTATAAAAATATCTTGGCTATAATCCATCTTTCTGTAGTCTGCATACAAAAAAAGATTTGAAGAAACTAATTTCTTTACTGAATTTTTTTTTTTTTTTTTTGTATAGTTTCAACATTTTATCGTTAATAGTTAGTCCTTAATGCCTATGCATCGACACATATGACAATAGCTGAAAGTTTTAAGTTTATAAAACAGAAAGGGCATTTCATGTTACTCTAATTCAGTTATACAAATAATTTTTGTAGATTGAGTTCCACACAGCCTGAAATTTCTTGCATCATTGTGTGGGAAAAAGAATCTTGTGTTAGAATTATAAACTTGATTTATAAATTAAGTTAATTCATGTATTTTAAATTGGTTCATGTTCTAGTTCTCTCAGTATTTTGATTAGGCACATGCTTTGTAAAGCCTATAAAAGACTTGTGATTCTAGCGTTTTTGATACAAGCCAATTCAAGAAATAAAAGTTGAATGTTCGCTTGAATTTATCGTCTCTCGTAAAGTTCTTTCATATCCAAGTTTCCAACATCTCGTTTACGAGTGAAAGTATCACGACAGTAAGGCAAATAAATTACTCCCACGAAAGTAGTAATTAAATTTCTTAACCCGCAAAAATTTGAGGAAAAACCAAATCGAAGTGTAGCGTTTGCAGCAAGATTTATGGCAAGACAATATAACAGGTTTCTCCAATCTTAAGTTTAACTATAAATTAAGTTATTAGGCCACAAAATCAAGATTTTCAGCTGCCACATAAAGTTCTCATTAAATAAAAACACTATCTTAATCTTCAGTAACTTCACTAAAAGAATAGTTATTTTCCGACTCAGATCTCACTCAGTACTACAACAAAATCAAACCCCGAAACATTCTTATAGATCAAACAGCGAAGGACTAAAACTTTTTCCCGATAAATAAACAAGTGAACGTCTACTTAATACTGTTAAACACACACACACACGCACAGTAACAGAGAGGGAAAAGGGGCATGCCTAGAGCTGCTGCAGAACTCATAGAGCTTGCCACGGCTGGAGAAGATGATGAGACCAACCTCGGCATCGCATAGCACAGAGATCTCATAAGCCTTTTTCAGCAGCCCATTTCTTCTCTTTGCAAATGTCACCTGTCTACTTATCTTGTTCTCTATTCTCTTTAATTCAACTTTCCCTCTCCCCATGATGTGTATTTATATATTATGTTAGAACAGTAATCTGAAAATATGCTAAAAATTCTTACAAAAACAGATCTTTTTTGGATAGGCACATATATGGGATTGTACTAAGATCTAATACTTTGTGCTTTTTTCCCTCTTCTTCTTCTTTCACTTCTCCTAGGGTAGGAACTGCTCTTGTTTCTTGAGCAGGTATTAGGTTTCCTGATCTATGAAAACATACACACACATATGTGTGTATGTGTAGATGAAAAATTGATGCTTTGCAAGGTACTTTGGTTCTCTTTTCGTTCTGCAGTGTTTGGACGTTTGGCTGTGGAACCAACGGTTTCCTAGCCAAGAAGATATATAGTGGGGAATACTTTTGCCCAAAGGAACAAAACAACATTAAAAAGCTTTTTCATGTTCTTCTCATATCTAGGCTGGAATTTTTAGACCGCTACCGTAATGTGGCTTGACATTGTTTTTAAGATTCTCGTCACGATAGCGTTGGAAAGTTTTTATACTGACCGCTGGGGTAAAAGATCAATTCCATTGTTTTTAATATCTATTTGGACAAACTCAACCACACAAAGTGCAAAATATAGGAGCGGCTTTTGTGGGTTGCTGCCTGTTGGTGTGTGATATCCTTTGCACTTCGAGTGATCATGTTTGTCCAAACAGGATGGTATCGCCTTTGCCATTGCATCAAATTTTTATTTCGCCTATTTATAGAAATAATTAGTACCAAAAAAGGGAGAAAAAAAAAAAAAAGGAACCCTAGTTGATTTTCCAGTTTCTTCGTAGTTGCCTTGACACTATGTATCTCATTTCATTCTATTCTTGATACTTAAACTGCTAATATTTGGATGTTCTCTATGCAGCTGTAGGAGAAGTTAGGATGATTCTCCAACTCCGATTGTGAGTCTATAAATATATATAGATTATTCAAATGACATTGGACGACTTGCTCAATTGGTGAAGGATCTATGGTGACCAATTGACGTTTTGGTGACTGATGATTCGCCCAAAGGTCTCTCATACTGCTTGGAACATGTTAACCGATTGATCATATGTTGGTCCATCCACCTTCTTTGTTAGGCCTAACACTTGAAATTACTTCTTTGTTTACACCGTAACATGTTAACGGATTGATCATATGTTGGTCCATCCACCTTCTTTGTTAGGCCTAACACTTGAAATTGCTTCTTTGTTTACACCGTAACACTCGAAATTTTCAAAATATCTCTAAGCGCGTAAGATGATAATGTGGGTTCTCATCAATCCTACCAAAGAAGGGTATGTCGCTTGAGAACAAATTAATGACATCTAGCCACAATTGAAAATTATCGTGCACATATGGAGGATAGATGATAAAGTTGTTGATTCTCAAGAAGCATATCGTCCTCATCTATTTCATCTACTATTGTGCAAGAAACAATCGAGGGTGCATGGATTTGTACCCTATAAAACAAATCACATGAATCTGCTTCAAGAATAATGCGATTGGCATAACCAGAAATTTGTCATTCATTTCTAGGTTGAAAATCAATAACGTTTCTCGAGGTCTAAAAATGTAATTAAATTATGAACATATATACATGCATTAATTCTCAAAGATCATCACGTAACATTTTCATGGCGCATAAAATATTTTGTTTATTATAATGTGTTAATTTATATTCAACTTCTAGAAAGCAATATAAATCACGAATAGATTTCAAAATTTTGAATTATCATTCCCAAAATTAATCTACAACCTCCATCTAGGTTTTAAGTAATTGTTGATCAGAGATTTTTATTTTCAAATATGAAAGCCGAACTTTTAGACTATTTAATTAATTATAATTGCTTATAGTCAAATAAAGCTTAAAATTATATTATTTTCGGTAAACTATAATAACTAGCCAAGCTCATAGTGTTTCTTTTGAGATAAAAATTTATGTAGCACGAATTTATAATTATTTTAAACTGTAAAATAGATATAAATGAATAATATTATAAGTCCCACAAAAAGTATTTTTTTTTGAAAAAAAATTGATTTGATCGATTATAAATAACTTATGAATATTAGTCAAACTTTGGGCTAAATTCTTGATTTTCTCATTATTCTTGTTCCAACTTGCTAGTTAATTTATATAACAATATAGGCACTGTTTTTAGTAATTTCTTTTCTTCTAATTATTTTTAATATTTTTTCCCATTAGTATCAGTTAAAATTATATTTTTATTACTTTTTTCTGAAATTATTATTCCCTCTTCTTTGTCTGATACAAAAACGTATCTTTCGAATTTGAATTTGATCCTCATTCTTTTCAAAAGGGAAATATTTTTCATTTATTTGATTAATCCCTTTCTTTGAAATACAAATATTGAAATATTTCTTTGATTTAAAACGTATCATTTATGTCGCACGCATTACTCCAATTGAATTGAAAAATTATGATATTTTAATTTTAATAATACATTAACACAATAAAATAATAATAACGTATGCGTAAATTCAAAAAAAATTATTATTCAATTCATTATTATTATTTTTTTTCAAATAATGATTGTGTTACTAAAAACAAAAACCATTTAAAACTACATATAATATATTTCTGAATAAATTTCGAATGACCGCAGGTTGTCAGTTCCAACATAAACCACCAAAACTTAAGAAGTCGACGTGTCATGCACTCAGGCCATCACGCCAACGTCCCGACACGTTGCTTTTTTCCATTTATTGATTGGACAGTGGAATTGTACAAAATGGCACGTAAACTTTTGATAATGAGCTACTGCAATAATCACCATGCCCGACATCCTACGTGATATAAAATTATTAGAAATTATTCTTTTTTAAAATAATGTCACATTAAATAACTACGGTAGTCACTGACTATAAATAACATATATGTCCATCTATTTCTAATTTAACAATTTGATCTTAGATTGCAATTGACGGTTAAACTTCTTTAGCAACGTAATAAATCGTATTATCCAAAATTCTACAAAACAATCGTATTTCTAGAAAGGTTTACAGCGGTCGGTGAATGATTCAAATGAACTTGATTTTCGCTCTTTCTACAAAATTGTGATTTATGATGTTAATTAGTGCTGAATGAGGTTGAAAGAAGGGCAAGACAAATCGACAGTTCAGAGCTGTTTGGGGCCACCAAAGTTGGAAAGAAGAATGGTTTGGGGGAATTATTGCCACCAATGGGTTGGGTCCACAGTTAATTTATTCTTTCCGAAATACGTTTGAGGATTAGCTGTTGATTGACCTCTAGGGCAAAAGCATCATTTTGGTGTTGGCTATGAGAGCAATAATAAATCAAGACAAAAACTCTGAATATTAGATATGATCTTATAATAATATGTGTTAAGATCGACTAGTGAAATGATGGGAGAAAGGCATCATTGTTGAAAGGATACCAACCTAGATCACAAACCAAGACTCCTAAGTGATCTTTCAGTGGTAAAGGAAGTAAGAATGCAGAAACAGTCAGAAGGTGTATCTGGAATTTACTAAAATAATTTTATTAGCTCCCAAGGTATTATAAAATGAGATTGCTAATTTCTTTATCATACGAATTGGAATTGAGAAAAATAGAGTGTGATTTATAGAATTTTGTGAACTTCATTGTTAAGAGGAGAAACAACTAAATCACTGAGGTCACACTAAATGATCGCTCAATGGTAAAGGAGTTGAGGTGTGAGACAACTAAGAGGTTTACTTAGAATTTATTAAAATATTTTCATTACTTTTTGCTAAAGTTGTTAACTCCATTAATTGTCGCGTAGGACTAAGTAGTTGAAGTTGTTACCAGTGGGATAGATTAGGTATCAATAGGAAACATGTGACGGGGAGCAGTTACAAGAGAAATATGAATCAATTGGAAAAGAGAAGAAATAAGAAGATCTATGAAAATGTGCTTGACTTTTAGCTCGCTTATCAGATTTTCACGAGTGAGTACAATTCAAAAGCGTTTTTCGATTATGCACATTTTTGTCTGATGACAACATAATATTTTCAGGGTAAAATTTTATTATTTAGGTGTCTGTTTTAGCTTTATCTATTTTGAAATAGTTTATGGGTATTTTCATCATTTTTGTAGTTTTTAAATTTATTTGGATTTATCTACAAAATTAGGATTTCAATTTGATTAGGATTTATTTAGAGTCGTTAAATATGTGTTAAGGATTTGAAAACTCTACATTTATTTTTTTGATAAATAATAAATTAGTTATTCCCTTTATTGTTGAATTTCAATATTTTTCACATCTATTCAAACGAAATTCGTGCAAACTGTAATGTGCCGAATTTTATATTCTCAATTTAGTTAATGTAACCCATTTAAGAAACAAATTATGGAAGATCGACATCATTTAAGGTTATGAAAGTACAAGCCATAATTTATTTATAAGCCCAATAATTTAAGACATTAGGTTTAAGTAAATTTGATTACAATGATTTGATAAATAACTGGGTTACCACAATGATCATCTGCATGGTATTTCATATAGACAACTCAAGTTTGAATCACCATGCAAATGTTTTTATAAATTATTTTATAAAATTATTATTGAAAAAAAATAATAAACTCCTTATTGTTGCACATTAAGAACAATTATACCAAATTAATTGGATGGAATAATTGTTTTATTAGTGAGTACTCATAGAGATAAGTTACAATCATATGAATAGTTCATTTTCTTAATTTTTTT